CAGATCACAAGCATACTTATCAGAAAATATGGTACTGCAGTTAAGAGAGAACACTTTTTCTGTTACAAAAATAATAATTATTGTTGGAAGTATGATCAGCCACATTAAAAGCATTCTTTATTCCTTTTCCAGGCCAAAAATCTGACTTGGGTACTTCTCAGGTTTTCAAATAAATACATTCATTTATCTGTCCATGGTATTACTCCTGCATAAGAAAATACAGGGCCTTTAACACACCCAAAGTTTGGATACCGCTCTTGCTTCTCTAAGAACCATTTAAACCGTTTATTTTCTACAAAATAAGGTGCTGGGAGATGGAAATGCAAATATTCTAGTTGGTTCTCAAAGGCTTAGGTGGAATTTTGTCCTAAATGGTGATTAACTCATATATATTCCTAATCCTTTAAAGCAGTTGCTTAAAGATTCCAAGTGGCCCTCGAAGATGCTGGGTAGGAGAGCAAGTAGTTCCTTCCAGCCCAAAGGGATGCAAGATTTTGTGCTAAGGGGGAAATCCTGTTCACAGTGGAGTAAATGTGGTTTTTGCTCTGCTTTTAATGGAGTTTCCGTTCCTTTTTCTAAACTTAAATGAGAATGGGATTTTACCCATCTCCTCACATGACTGCGGCGTGAACCTGAATTCTATTGTTGAATCTTTTTTAATGGGGAAAATTAAGGTGAAACTAAATAAGCCCAGATACATCTCCAGATGGAGGAGGACTCCTAATTGTTGGGTGTTGCCTGAAGCAGAGATGTGAGCTCTGAGCAAACAGTCCCTGCAGCACAGCAGCAGTGCCAGCAGCGCTCCCGGTGCCGGGGAAGCTGCTGTGTCACCTGGCTGTGCTGTGCTTACAGGTGGCAGCGTTGTGCCTGGCCCAAGTGCCCTTCCTTCTCCCCACCACAAATGCAATTGATGCTCGGGATGAGGAAAAGGTCACCCGTAGGGGTGCACTGCTATTTCCATGAGTTTTCAGTGAAAGTTCAGACTTCATGAAGATAAGGCTAGATAAGGAATTGCAGGGACAGAGTTCACACGGGCAAACTCTTGGGCAGGATATTTTTTTTTTTGTTGCAAGTAAATGAGACTAAAATATTCCACAGACTTTCAGTATATTCTTTACATTAAATCCAACAATTAGTTATTCATGTCCCAGCTTTGATTTTTTTAAATAACCAATACCATAATTCAGAGGCAAGAATTTAATCCACAGAAAATTCTGTCCTTGGAGAAGATCAAAGTGAGTCCTGTGGTGTTAAGCATACACCTACAGTACTTGATCCTGAAAAAAATTAAATGCATGTTTCAATCAGCCTATCCCTTTCTTACTGGTTCCCATGCATTAGTCTAAGCCTCTGCCTGAATATTTTCAGTACCAGGAGCAAGGGCCTGTGGAGATGTCCACAGTGGGAGAGCAGGGGCCTGAAAAAGCAGCAAGCAAACAGGTGAGAACCCCAGCAGACTTTGATGGCAATGGCTCTTCATTCCTCTGCATCTACCAGCGCTACAGGAAGAGATTGAAAGTCTCTTGGGTGACACAAATACGCACGATAAGTGCGTAAAGAGAACACAAAGGTGAAATGGCCCTGCTTATCAGGCACAATTAAAATGAATAGAGGATGACTAATAAAGAGGCAGTTTAAAATCTTTACATGACACAGTGTCAAGGCAACAGTGTTGTGCAATAGCACTGACACAATTAACGCTGTGTCCCTGCCTTGGGTAGAGCTGGGTTCCCTCCGGCCTCGCCCGCGCGCTCCCATGGCGAGCGCTGGGTGGGCTCCAGCGCTCCAGCTCTCCGCTCACCGCCGCATCCCGGAGCCACAGCGAGGCCCGCGCACAGCCAGCCACCTCGGAGCAAGGCAAGGGTGCTTTTCCCACTTTGTCGTCTCTGTTATTCTCTTTCCTTTCAGTTTGTATCGTCCCAGCCTCACTACTGTGGGAAAAGGGGGAAACATCATGTTGAATTTCTGGGTACGATTTGGAGTGAGATGAGGCTGAGGGTGCGTGATCCTGAATCGGAGATGGTTCTCGACTTAGCACTGGGCAATGCAAGCATTTCCTGGGTAGGAATTTTTGCAGTGCGTAATTCAAAAGCTCCAGGTGAGATTGTGAATATTCCAAAATACAGCCAAAGTTACCCCTCTAGTTCATCATTTAATTGTATTAGTGCTTAATGGTGCCTGAGAGGCTACAGGATTCTCCTATGCAGCATAGGCTGGGGTTTTATATATTTATGTATATATATATGCACATAAGAACATATATAACAACATATATAAGAATATATATAAGCACAACAAAGAATATACATATATATAGAATATATATAAATAAATATATATTATATATAAAAATATATACATATATAGAATATACGTATATAGAGAATATATATAAATATATATATTATATATATAAATATATATACTCTTTGTTGTGCTTACATAAATTCTTACATATGTTGTTATATATGTTCTTATGTGCATATATATATATATATGTATATTCCTTGTTGTTCTAATTTTCCAGCTCTCTCTTGGTTTTATTGCTGCTGGCATGCCTTTGCAATGCAGCATTGTTAAAAACTAACAATATAAACAAATTTGAGGCTATGCCAACAATCGCTGAGCAGAGCCAAAGCTGCCCAGTGCTGCAACTTGCTGAGCAGTGTGTGAATTCTGCTGTGGCAGAAATGTCTGTTTCCCCATTCTGTTTTAGCTTTTGGAAAGATCTTGGCGGAAAGTGTGTTATTCTAAATGACACATAAAGTAATGAGATACATAAAGTAATTGACATGAAAACTCCCACACCACTGCTGCAGGAGGAGGGGCCCCCGTGTTTGCCCAGCCTGCTGGCTCTAAATGCCAGGGGCTGCAGGGGAGTTCATTGAAACACTTCCAATAAGACACGATTTCTGGACAGAAGATAACATCTTTGCAATTATCAGGTGAAGTGGTACTTCCCAGTGATTTGCTTTATTAGAAGAGAGCGTAGATGCTGTTTTCTGTGCCTGCCAGGCTTGAGGGATGGGGGATGGCCATGGAAGTGTCCCAGCAGTGTGAGCACACCTGGCCAGCTGCCAGCACAACTCAGGGCAATGGCTATGGCAATTGTACCTTGAGGGGAAACCTAGTGCAGCCCCTTTGGGGCCATATCCTGCCTACCTGCACTGTCCACAGCATCCATCTGTGGGTGCTTAAGCCGTAAGTGCCTCAGTTGCAGAGTGCAGTGTTTTCATTATTCCGAATCTACTGCTCCAAATTTGTATCCCCATGCCCATGTAGGGGGACAATGGCATCCCCTCAGTGATTGTCACTGGAGTAACAGGACTGCACTGCAGGCTGCAGAGACTCAGCTTAAGCCAAGTATAAGTGGAGAGAAACTGCATTTGATACGGTTTTATATCTTGCCTAAAAGGGAGCAAGAAGGATTTTTCCCCACATGGACAAGGAAAGGGTTGTTGTGTTTCGTGTGACGAGGCACAACTCAAAAAAGCACTCTAAGTGGGAAAAGGAGATTGGCCACTTGTGGCAGGCAGCACAGCCAAGCTATTTGCTTTGCCTCCAGTAAGAAAGTAAGTAGGAAATATTAACTGCATGCAAAGGTGCCCTTTCTCTTGTCCTCATCAATAGCAGCTGATACTCCTCCAGGTTATTACTGTAGCAACGTCACTTCCCTTTCCTCACTGGCATCAGGCTTACATTAAAAACCTCACAGCAAAGTCTTTTGTCTACTGTCCCCTTTTTGGTTCTTCTCTTGTCTCCTGTGCTGTGCTTTGGGGCCCTGGCACACATGGGGAAGGGGACATGCAGGCTCCCTGCCTATCTCCCTGCCTGCTCCCTTCTTCCAGCAGAACTGAGGGCTGGGAGAAGAACAGGAAATTTGGCTGAGCAAAGAAAGCCAGGGGAGAGGATGCCAGCTGTGGGAAAGGGCTACTAGGCAATAACGTGCTCCCAGAGGGAGCGGATCTCCCAGCATTGCATAGGTTGAGGAGCAGCTTTCCAAAAAGAGCTGAAGGGAGGGGGAAAAAAAACAAACTACACGCACAAAAAAATCCAACTTGTTGGTAAGAGAGTGCACTCAGTTTTGGAAGGGGATCACATGATGCAGCTGCCCGGGGCCGGGGTCAGAGACCCAGCGATGTTCGCCCAGGTCGCCCTGTGGCATCACTCAGACTCTTCCCACCGCAGCGCCGGTCCCCTCCTGGCAGTGCCTTGAGAAGAGAGGGGAGGGTGCTGCAGACCAGGCTTGATGTCTTTGGTGCCTACTGCTTCCAGATACAAAAAGGAGCATAAATCAAACCCGGGAGATAGGCAGGAGCCCATGGCACGGGTGAGAAGCGGTCCCAGCCCGAGTCGCCGGCGGGACCCGCTGCTCCAGCCGCCGGCTGCGGCTCTGCGCCCGCAGCTGGGCACGGCTGTAGTCGCGGAAAGGGAGAAGGAGAAGCCCGATGTCCTTGGAGAGGAGGGAAAATAGTTACAATGGAGAAAGGGAACTTAAAAAAAAAAAAAAAAATCTATGAGGAAGGAAGCAGTAAATGTTAAATGGGTGAGTCACGGTACGGGATGACTAATCCCGTCAGGGCACAGCTCGTGCCGCACAGGGAATCGGTGCCGCGCGGGGAGCGCGGAACGGCTGCGGGACCCGGCGGGGCAGCGGGGGCCGGGCCTCGCCCCGCTCCGCGCAGCCAGAACCGGGCAGGGAGCGAGGAAGGGCCGGTCCCGGCCGGGCTCCGCGGCCGAGGCCACCCCGCGGCCGGTGCCCGCGGACCGGCGGCGGTGACCTACTTTCGGCCGGCTCCTCCCGGCGCTCGGCACCGCCGCTCCCCGCGCCACCTGCCCGGCCCTGCCCGCGCCCCGCGCCCCGGGACGTGCGCTCAGCTCCCGGCCGCTCCCCACGGCCGCTCCGCCCCGCGCTGTCCCCGCCGCGGCTGCCGGTGCGGTGCCGGTGCGGTGCCGGTGCCGGTGGCGGCGGGGCGGGAGAGCAGCGCGCCTGTGCAGTGCCGGGGGGGCCGGGCCCAGCCCGCCGCGTTACACAACCGGCCGCCGCCACAGGCGAGTTTCACAAGTCCCGCCGCGTTCGCCCCGCAGCCCGCGCCCACCCCGCGCACACCCCCGCGCCGCGCACCGCCCGCACCGCCCCCGCCCTGCCCGCGCCCATGCCATGTCCCCGCCGGGCTGCGGGACCCCGCGGCCAGCGGTAACCCCTGTCGCCGAGGGGGCACCGCGCCGGGGCTGGGCATGGCACTGAGAGCGGCTCCGGGACGCGCATCCTCCTAGACGGTAAGTACAGACCCTGCCGGGGGGAGCAGTGCGGGGGGGAGTTGGGTGTTCCCGCACTTGCAGCCCGCGGGGAGCGGGGGGAGCCCGGGAAGAGCTGCGGGGCCGGTGCGCGGCACCCGCCGCTCCTCCCTGCCCTCGTCCGACACTGCCAGGACCGTCCCAGGTAAGTTCTGTAGAGGAAAATTGGCACCCACAATTTAAGTCCTCTGATTTTCCTCTAAAAAAGAGAAACGTGCCGGCAGGACGGGCATGGGACGCAGGGCAGGTTGCCCCGGGGGGCTCTGGCTTTAGAGGGCAGGTGGAAAGTGGGCTCCGGGGCGGGTATGCCGGAGCAAGGCCGGGCACCGACATCCCCGTCCCGCAGAGCCTGAGAACCCCCGGGCATGGAGAGCCTCGGGAATAGCCACGGGCTGAGCGCAGCTGAGAGCTGCGGGGATTTGGGGTTGGAGGAAACCGATTTTCGGGAGTCTGAAATGGATCTGGTCGCATTCTTGTTCTGTCTGCAAGTTCCATCGTTGAGAGAATAAATGTGTTTTGCTGAAAACACTGTGGGGAAAAACCTCCGAAATGAGTCTTGCGCCTAAAGATGGCATTTGAAATCCAGGTTGAAAAGTTACTCCTCCCGCCAGGGTTATTGTGTCATTTGATTTTACAGAATGGTTACATTATAAACGGGGAAATATGAAGGCTTTGAAAGTCCCTCATAGGTTTCAGCTGTGGATTTGTGAATGATAACTCCAAGCCTTGATCCTTAGTGGCAGAAATTGTGAACTGATTGCTCTGGGTAGCTCACACTGGAAGCACAGGTCGGAGCTGAGCCCTGTGTGATTCATCAGTGAGGTGTCACACGCGCTTCGGAGAGCTGTTGTCCTTTGTAAAGTGCCACAATCCCCGAAGGCAGGAGGCTCCTGAGCCATGGCAGAACAGGTCTCTCTCTCCTCTGTGGATTTTGGAGAAGTCCAGCACATCAGTCCCTTTTGGGACACCGAAGTGCCAACTACCCCTGATCCCTGAATGAAGTTATATTCTTCAGCTGTGAAGTGGCCCCGGAGATAATGTCCCTGAAATCAAAGGTGTTAAAATGCCCCATGCCGTAGCCACCTGGGAGGGTGAAGGATCACCTGGGAGGGCAGGGTTGTTTATCGGCTGAAGTTTATTTTGTTGTGTGCAGTGAAAGCAGTGGTGCTGGTTTCATTAATGGGATAANCCAAGCTGTGGATTACAGTTACTTGATTTAGAGGGAAAAGTAAAATTGGTTTGACTTTTTTTTTTTTACTAAACTGCAAACTTCAGTAAGATGTATGATATATGTTCCTGGGTTTTAGCCACTGAGACTGTGTCTGTACTAAATTATTTTTTTGGTTAATGACACACATCAGGTACACAAAAAGAGCTCAGGGTTAAAGATTAAAATTAGCAAATGAGTAGTTCATAATTAAAGTCTCATGATGGAGGAAGGAGCATTACAGTGCAGAGATACTGATGTTGAATCCAATTTCTGCTCATTAGTAATATCAAAAAATTGGTAGGATGTCTTTACAGTTTGGAGCCAGGACTTGTCTGTGCACAGAAGTTGCATTGTTTTGCCCTAAATTACGCAACCTCCCAAGATTCACATGTAATGGTACAAAGGTTTTAATGCCAGCATAGCTCATTCCTTCAAGACTGGAGGAATAAGCTCTGTTTCTATACCAGAACAACTGAATTCAGGCTTGTACTGGGACAGTTATGCATCCTAGTGGAATAACGTGGCTTTAACCGAAATAGGAAAACCTATAAAACCCAAAATAGTATGAACCAGTCTTTTTCTGGTACTATTGAAATTATAGAGCTCTCTAATCACATCAGTTCCAAATCTCTATTAGGGAAGTCAGGCAGGTAAAACAACTGTATTCATTTGTTAGGACGATGGTGACCCCCTTCTCTCCCATGAATCCTGGCTCGCTCGGGGCCGTGCTCTGCTCGATGTGCCACATGTTGTCCCGCTGCAACAGCGACTCTGTGCCCACCGGCGCAGCCACAGTGGCACAGCTTGCCTGGCTGCAGCTCTGCTGGGTCTGCCCCGTTCTGCCACCCAGGCTGAGGCCATTTCTCTTTTTTCCTGGTTTCCCTACTACTTTTGGTGCCCACAGGACCGTATAGCACAGCACTACTTGCCCTGTGGCCTGTATGCTGAAGGAGCAATGCCCCTGTGCAGAAGTCCTGCAAGACCCTGTTTATTGTTTCTCCAGTCTCACTTAAGGCCAGGTTTAAGTGAGGTTGATGTGGTGGCAGGCCCTGACAAGCACACTGGGCTTGCTGGTTGCACATCTGCCCAGCTTCAGAACCACCAGATTCAGTCAAACTGCAGATGTGTGTGCAGTTAATGAAAGTCTTTTACCTACTTCATATTCCTTCATTGGCTTTGGCCTTGTCTACATGGGGAGATTGCATGAATTTAGTTTAAGTCTGTTTTTAAAGTGATTTGATTAACCTGATGTGACCTCACATAAGCACATTCTTAATTTGGTTCGAATGAGCTTATTTGGGTTCAACCAAAACCTGCACTTAGTCAATTTGCACAGAACTGAAATTAGATGTGTCTAAACTGAAAGGAGAACTGATGTCTCTAAATAATGACACAACTTTCTCATGAAAGCAGAACCTTCTGTAGAATCTGGAACAGAGTGTAATTACTAACAAATCTGCAGGCAACTGAAAACTATTCATAGCAAAGTTTAAAAAAAAAGAAAAAAAAAAGAAAACAGGCAAAACTTAAATATCTTAGTGAGACAAATGAAGAAGTACCAATAATCTCAGTCCTGGAATACTGAAAACAGTGACACAAGGCTTGCGTGGCTTGCAACAAGACTGCTCTTCAGATGCAAAAGAGGGCAAGCATTTGTGTTCTATACCTGGAGTCCCTATACAGTCAAAAAATAAAAAAGCAATGCAGGAAACTATAGACTGGCAGGTTTGAGTGCAATAGTACTCAGCATCTCATGACGTATTTTGTAGGAAAGAATAATTAGACGTGGAAATAATGAGGAAGCAGGCTGAATTGCAACAAGATTTTATCAAAGATGGATTGTGCTAAACTAATCTAACATCTTCTTTGTATAGCAGTTTATTTAGGTGGGGTAAGGCAGGAATGTAATTTATCTAAAGACAAACATTTGATACCATGCCCCACACGACATTATTGCTTAAAATGAAGATGGTTGTTCAAGACAAGAATTGAAAAGTAGAACAGGAGCTGGCCAAGGGAAAGATACAACTGTTGCATGAGAAAAAAGTTGTCTGGATGGAGAGAGGTATTCAGAGAAAGTCATCAGCATGGAGGGAGATTTGTGATGTTCCTCCCATGGGACGAGGCTTGGGCCTGTTGAAAGGATCCACTCTGACCTGTGTGCAGGGTCTGGGTGTGTGCCCAGGAGCTGTGTGGAATGACAAAAACTTGGGAGGTATTGTTAATACAGAGGAGGATCAGGTTATCATGTGAAAGGAATTTAGATGACTTTGTTGATTGGAGTAATAGACATAAAATGACATTTAATAGTGCTGAGTGCAAAAGTTTAAGCATGAAGACCAATAACAAGAATTTCCAGTGTGAAACAGGAGCTCATCAGCTCCTGTTCACGACAGAAGGGACAGATACGGATGCACTGGCTGCTCAGGAGATACCTGGGAGCAAGCAGTGGCATAAAGCTGTGAAGGAGACCACTGACATCCTTGGATACCAAAGGAAAATTGTATGAGAGATTTAGGGAAATGTGATACAATCACTGTGCAAATCATCATGCAGAGCATCAATGGGAGAGTTTTCCATTGTTCATGGAGTAGCTCATTGGGATTTTGCATAGTTAAGAAAATGTTAAACTAATAGGAGGGCTAAAGATGTGGTTACACAAACAAACTATCTGCTGTATGAAGTGAGGTTAAACACCATCATTTGTTTAGCTCTGTCCACTTCAACAAATGAAGAGACAGGTTACAGTAATTTTTTTTACACACAATTGGCACTAAATAGCAAGAGGACAGAAAAAAATAAGGTAAAATATAGCATCTGCACAAAATCAAGTTGTCTAAGTTGGTCATGAATATATTTGGATGCCAAATTAGAAGAAAGCTTCTAGCTACCTAAGGATTGAAGTTGTGTAAGAGTCTTTCAATTAGGGTAGTTTTGAGATAGATCTTGATAATCTTATGAAAGAGATTATACAATTAAATTAGAGAGTTCCTGGAGATAGGAAATTACGTTTGCAGAGTTCTTTGATCTGCAGTATAGTCATATTTTTAATGTGTGGTTGAAAGGAGAAGGGATCTGTTTTGTTTACACTTTTAACCCCATGCATCAAGGCTTCTGCCATTTTCCTGGGAGCTGAGAAAAGAATTAATTTTCCCTGTTGCTGCAGATTTGAATCTTTTTTTCTCCCGTATCTGCCTTCCTCTCAAGCACTAGGCATTGAAAATGTACAGTGCAGAGACTCCTTGTAGCATTAGACAGGCACAATTGCCTGCAGATTTTTCTGGCATGCTCCCTGGCTTAACCTGCTCATCAGATTTTGGGCCAAAGAGGTGTTTTTCCATCAGACTGCGTTCCAAATAACCATATTGTACTTCATGGTGTAATTTCTGTGATTCTGTTGCTAGTGTTAATGAACTTGGTGTGGCTACAAGGACAGGCAGTGCTGGCAGTGATCCTCACCTGCCCTTTGCTGTGTCACAGCAGAGCTTAAATCTTGCATGCCTCTGATGTGTATCATAAGTTTGTTGTATGATGAGGATGCGTTCTGGGCCGTCTGGTGCTTCTTAGCAGGTTGAAGAGATGTTATTAAGTAGCCATTAACAGAGTTGTTTTCCAAGACCGGGGTGCTGGGGTTGGTGCTCTCTGTTGACCTGATATTCCTAAAACCAGTTGGAAACCCAGGGTTAGTATCAGCTCTGGTGCTGATTAGAGCAAAATTCTGTAAGTCATGCAGGATAGCCTCTGGAAGGAAGAAGTGATTGCTGATAGATTA